GCATAGAATATTGGTGTATTCGTGAAAGTCCTATTGGCGTACAGTTGTTCGTCCAAAGCCAGAACAGATCAAGAGGGCGCCATGCGTTCTGCATGCGATTGGGGTTGTCGTGAGGGACTCAGACGTCAAAACCACATGTAATATGGAGAACAAAGGGCTTCAACCAGCGCACGGAACAGCTATTTTCATACCCATTCGCTTGTTGTAGCTTTCCGCGCATGCAGGAGGAGCTGTTCCGAAGTTGCATAACTTTGTTTCCAGTATTTCAGCAGCACTCATGCGCATCGTCACCAGACACATTGGCGGACCGATTTTGCATAGAGGCTGCGCCGGGCAAAGAGTTGCTCTTGGAAAAACGCCCGTTAGTGTTGGGTGTTTAGCGGGGGGTTGGGGTGTTGCACGTGCCTGAGTCGCCAAAGCACGTGTTTGCCAAGACAGTGACTAAGGCGTGCGTCTCACCGTTATCCTCACCAACCACCAGTGCCCCATCTCTCCTCCTTCACCAGCACGCTCTCCGCATCCTTCGCGCGCACCAACAGCCGCAAACGATCAGCTCAGGCCGGATCGTGCTCATGCCGGTGGCAGAAATCTAACCACATATTGTTTAGTCACTGATGAAACTGACGATGCGACACCAAACTCAATTTTACGCCTAAAACGGCTACAACCCAGTCCCTAGCTGCACGTTTTCGTGCATCACCATTTGTAAACACACAACCAACCTTATCTGACCGCCACCCTGATCTTCGCTTGCACAAATGTTCCGCACTCACCGGACAATCGTGACTCGTCTTCATTGCGGCTGATGGCGCCCGTCGCTGCTCGCTGCGCTGTCCGAATTTGGTTGTACACTACAACACTGACTAGAGCGACTGTTTCTTTGCATCTTCACCGCTGTGTACGGATTGGGAGCCTGAGAACCAAAACTATTTCAATTACAGTGGGCCTTATGTCAGTTTCGCAATAGTCTTCCTGTTGCGGCCTGCATGGAATCCTACAGCCTCAGCCACTTTCCGTTTCACAACACGATGTCGTAGGCGTTATGGAGAGTCATTCGAGTTACTCGCCAAGCTTTGATATGTACACTAGTAGAGGCTTAGTTATCACAGGTCTCGAACTGCCTACCGGTCGAACCAATGGCGACCAGTTCACTGCTCCACAATATACCAAAAAGCTACTGATCAGCTTCGGTTTTACCCGTCTTCCGTGGATGCAGCCTTCCTATAGCGTTTTCTTACAAGCCAACGTCTCATGAATGGCTACCAGAATCACGCATTGCTGAGGTTTGGTGGGACTAGGCTGGGCTTGCCGTGGCAGAGGCGCCGCTATTTTCAGGCTAGGAGTTTGCAACACTTGTTTCCCGAGGCTGCTCTTGCCTCAATGGCGTTTCGCGATCTTGTTCTTAGCATCGGTATTAACACTAGAGTTGTTTTTGGAGTTTGTTCACAGTGTTGAAACCTGGACGTAGGACCGTCGCACGTCTTGGCCAAACCGGAGTGCCTCACTAGGGCGGGACCAGGCATGGCCGTGGCAAGTTGGGCCTTTGACGGTCCATGTGTGCTTAGAGTCTATGGCTTCCAAAGTTGTATAAAGACTGACGGTGCCGCCGCTGAAGAAGGGCATCCAGCATCAAAGGTTCCCAGCCAAAGCAACTACAGTAATAACCACTTTTCCATTCTACTTAATACCCTTTACTCTACTTTCTAATCTTACTCTGACCGGTTCAGACATCTTTTTTAAATCACTCAAAATGTACTTCTCCAAGACCTCCTTTGTTTCCTTCAGCCTTTTGGCTTCTTCTTCGCTCGTGGCTGGCCACGGAGCTATCATCGCCGCTACTGGTGATGCAGGTGGTGCTGGCTCTGCCATCGGTGTCGACCCCAACACTCCTCGTGACGGTACCAACCGCAACCCCTTCCAGCAAGATTCTACCCGCTTCCGTGGCGATGCCGCAGCCACTTGCGGTGAGACTCTTGGTGGAGGTGCCAACGACATCCAAGCTGGTACTGCTCAGGTCATGCAACTCAATGGTCCTACCCTTCCTCAGGTCACCGCCGGTGGTCAAGTTATGATGACTGTCCACCAAGTCAACTCCGACGGTGCTGGTCCCTACACTTGCATGATCGACGCCACCGGTACTGGTACCGCATGGCAACCCATGACTGTCACCCAGAACCTTCCCGGTAACGACCGTGGCCGCAACAGGGACACTCAATTGCAAGATCAGCCTCTTACTGCCACTGTTCCCGCTGGCATGACATGCACTGGTACTGTCGCTGGTCAGACTAACGTCTGCATGGTCCGTTGCCAGAACCCTGCTCGTGCTGGACCTTTCGGTGGCTGTGTGCCTGTCCAGATGGCTGGTGCTGCCGCTGCCGCTCCCGCCGCTGGTGCTGCCGCTGGTACTGCCGCTCCCGCTGCTGGTGCTGCTACTGCTGGTACTGCTGCTGGTGCCGCAACTGCTGGTACTGCCGCTCCCGCTGCTGGTGCCGCCACCGCTGGCACTGCCGGCACCGCTGCTCCTGCTACCGCTGGCACTGCTACTGGTGCTACCGCCGGTACTGCCGCTGGTGTTGCTGGAGCCGCCTCACCTGCTACCGCTGGCACTGCTGGAACCGTCGGTACTGCTGGAACTGCTGGAACTGCTGCCGCCCCCGTCGCTGGTACTGGTGTCGCTACTGGTGCTACTGGTGCTACTGGTGCTACTGGTGCTACTGGTGCTACCGGCGCTACCGGCGCTACCGGCGCTGCAACTGGCGCAACTGCTCCCATTGCTGGTGCCGCTGCCCGCAAGCGCGAGGCTGCCCGCAAGCAAAAGACCCAGCCCGCTCTCACCAACGACGACCAGGAGGAGGAGGTCGACCTTGTCGGTGACGAGCGCGACTAAATTCCTCACCTACCTGCATCTTCCAAATCAATGACGAACCAATCAAACGGCGCCTCTCCGATACGATCATGACCTCGAGCCTGGAAGAATCCTTTGGGCTTTTCCAACTCTAATCACGAACGAACGAACGAAAACTTAATAACCGAAATGTGGAGGAGAGATATGAGAAAGATGTATACAATAATGGCTGAAAAACAACAACAACAACAAAAAACCGATCTGATATAAGACGGGAAAACTAATGGTGGAGTGAAGGTGTATTTTCTTTTCTTTTCTTCTGTTTCTTTTTTTCTTTTCCGGGATCATCTGAGCTGTGCTCGTGTGAAGGAAAGGGAATCGGGGGGAAATGAGAGGGAGAGAGAAAAAGTAGTATGGAATCTGGTTATTTCGCTGGTTATTTACTGTGGTTTGCCTTGGGCTTGGGAACCCGAGTCTGATTACGCTCCTTAATTGTAGAGTTCTACGTAGGACCCCCTCTGGTTTGTTTTTACTCAGTAGATAAAATCGCTGGAGGGATTGTAGATGTGCTATAATATTTTTTTTAAACATAAACATTTGGCCCTGACTTTGACTTTGCTTGTGATGGAACTTATTCTTTTTTTTTTCTCTCCCTTTTTTGCTCTTCTTGCCTTTTGGGTACTACTAGCCAAAATAGCGACGCACTGCTTAGCTACGAAAGTTAAAGAGACAGATAAAATTCACCAAAGACTTCTCTACAACTTTCCTAAATTCCCACAACACCACTTATAATTACCTCTTTCCTCTAATTAAATCTAACATTAAAATCTAATCTCAATCCAAACTACTTCAACATCCCCAAACCATGATGCCCCCAACTTTACCAATTCCCCTCCCTCTTCATCTTTCCAACAAATTTCTGGCCTTGCAAATCAGGCAAGTGAAGTCCAGCTAAGCTTTTCTTGGTACTAGGTGCTCGGGAAATCCCTCCACGCTAGCCGCTCCCCATGTGTATGTGTGAACCATGCCCACCCCTCCGCCCCTCCCCATTCCTTCCCTCCTTTTATTTCCAGGGGTGGCTATAAATGCCGCGTGAACAAGGGCTGCTTGTGTGGCGGTGCGGGGACCCTGTTGGGATATAAAAAAATGCAACGGTTTCAGAAAGGGGGGAAGATGGGGCGTTGCAGCGCTGTTTCAGGGATGACGACCGGGGGGGGGGGAACAGGATTTTTTTTCAAACCCCCAATTTTTTTTTGGGAGGGGGGGGGAATGGAGATGGAGATGGATGTGCCGTAATATATGCAGGGGGTTGGCATGATATAGGATGAGGATTAGATACGTGGTTCTTTGCTATCGTGCGGAGTGTGAGGTGGGGGAAGGGGAGAACGGATGGTCGGGGTTTGTGGTGGGTTGTACTAAGGGGCGGAAGCCGGGCACATGATGTCTGAGTGTTTCGGAAACACCAAAAGCGACGCGAAACGGTGTGCCTAAGAATATCGCAGACAACGGATGGAATTTGAAATTTATCCTGGATTGCTGACTTGAAATGTAAGTGACAGATATGATAATTGACGATGTCAATTTCTTTTGCAGGTATTGAGGGTAGGACCGGAAAAGTGTGCATTTGCATTCCGCTTTTCTTTGCACTCAACACTCACTTGTCTTTCCACATGGATGAAATTCCCTGGTCGTGTACCTTGATTACAATCCCACATACAGTTGTAGTATTCAAACTCACTACATGCAATCACCTTGTATTGCCAATTCGCTACAATACATCCAACATCGATACACTGGATGGCACTCCACACACCCTCAGTTGAACTTTCTTGGCCAAAAACATTTTGCACAGAACAGAAACAACAGTACGAATATCGAGTTACCCATTACTTTTTATTTTCGTCGCTTACAAGTAGATACATACATCCAACCCTAAGTCAAATGTCTCCAAGCGTCTACAACAAAGACTTTCATCAACGCCGTCTCATGCCCATCATCACCTCTACCACCAACACCTCGCCATGCACCGCCCGTCTAGTCTCCAGCAGCACGCCGTGTCTTGGGATAGAAAAAAAGGAAGGAAAGAAAAAGGTATACATCGCTCAAACCATTAGAGCTGGAATTTTGTGACTTGACTTGGAAGCATTGAATGCAATTATTCGCGCATGTTGACGACACAGCGAATGCAGTCACCAGCCTTCATGTCACCAAAGGCCTGGTTGATCTTGTCGAGTGGCTGGCGGTGAGTGATGAACTCGTCGACCTTGAGGCTACCCTGCAGGTAGTCGGATACAAGGCCGGGCAGCTGGCTGCGACCCTTGACACCACCGAAAGCGCATCCCTTCCATACACGACCAGTGACAAGCTGGAAGGGACGGGTGGAGATCTCCTGGCCGGCGGCGGCGACACCGATGATGATGGACTCTCCCCAGCCCTTGTGGCAGGCCTCGAGAGCAGCACGCATGACATTGACGTTACCCGTGCAGTCAAAGGTATAGTCGCAACCGCCATCGGTCATCTCGATAAGCTTCTCCTGGATGCTCTGGTTACCGAGCTTGGTGGGGTTGACAAAGTGTGTGGCGCCGAACTTCTTTGACCACTCCTCCTTGGCGTCGTTGACATCGACTACGATAATCATACCAGCCTTGTTCTTGGCGGCTCCCTGGATGACTGACAAACCAACACAGCCGGCACCGAAGACGGCAACGTTGGATCCAGCCTCGACACCTCCTCGGCCGGCAGTGATGGTTGCAGCTCCGTAACCGGTGGTAATACCGCAGCCGAGCAGACAGGTGCGGTCCATGGGGGCGTTCTCGGTAATGGCGACGACAGAGATGTCGGCGACAACTGTGTATTGGGAGAAAGTGGATGTGCCCATGAAGTGGAGGAGGTCCTTGCCCTTGCACCTGAAGCGTGATGTGCCGTCAGGCATGACACCCTTTCCTTGTGTGGCACGGATCTTTCCGCAAAGGTTGGTCTTGCCGGACTTGCAGAACTTGCACTCCTTGCATTCCGGGGTACTATATTGCTGTTAGGTGGGTTTGGGTATATGTGGGGTAGCTTGACGTACTATAGGGCAACGACGTGGTCGCCTGGCTTTACGTTGGTAACGCCCTCGCCGACTGACTCGACGTAACCGGCACCCTCGTGTCCAAGGACAATGGGGAAAGCACCCTCGGGGTCCTTGCCAGAGAGTGTGTAGGCATCTGTGTGTGTGTGCCGTTAGTTGCTGGTGTAGCAGACGAGGCCAAGGGTTTCAACATACCGGTATGGCAGACACCAGTGTAGTAGATTTGGATACGGACTTCGTGCGCGCGGGGCGGCAGGACCTCGATCTCCTCAATGGAGAGGTCCTTGCCGGCTTCCCAGGCTACTGCGGCCTATGTTTCCGTCAGCAATGATATTACTATGGTTACAGACTGTGTCGTCATCTGCCGACATCCGCTTCCGACGCGTCAGGTCCGCTAGTACCCGTGGGATTACATGCATGTTACAACACGTCTTGCGGACCCGCATGCCAAGATTCGCGGCCAGCTACGAAGATAGCTGGCGAAGAAGGCGACTGTGGTGTATGGAGGCAATTGACACTCAAACGTACCTTGCAGGTGATTGTCTGTTGAGAACAATGTCAGCTAGTGTATACAGGCGAATTGAGCAAGATGGCTAGGCGTGGCGGGACGTACCTTTCCAACGGTGTCTGCAGACATTGTGGATTGAGTGTTGAGGGTAAGTGTGTATCTTGAGAGGGAAAAGCAGCAGCAGCAACAGCAGCAGTTAAATAGCAAGAGGAGAAGAGGGGAAACACAAGCTACTCCAGCCCCGTAGAGCGGCTCCGGTAGCTTTTGTTTGAAGATGTGGGGTCAGCAACGACAAGCCAGCGTCATTCCGCTGCCCCTCCAAGCCCCTCCAAGGCCCATGCCCCTCACTTGCGGGCACGACTCGGCGCATGTCGCGCGATACTCGCCCTTTGAGGCTCAAACTCGTAGCTGGCTCGGAAATGCGTGGATGCGACACGGCCGCTGACTATTGGCCGCCGCCGTCCGGGCATCTTAGCCAGATGTGGACATGTTGGTTGTAAGGCCAGCTCGGCAGTCGCCTTGCGGAACTGCTTGCCGCTTCGGGGTGACGGACACGACGGGCCAGTGTGTAGATATGCGCCTTTCAGCAAAACCTCTCGCACACTACTGCACCCACAAACCGCCATCTTTCTTCTTTATCGGCTCTGTGGCGCGCGTGATGCTTCTGGACCTGATACCTACCCATCGGCTACTCGGACCAAGGAAAAGACCACCTGCACGGAACTAGCCGGAGAATAGCTACATGTCTATGCATGCAGAAAACGCAATATCTTGGTATCTTCTAACAAACTGCTAAAAATCTAGGCCTGGCAAATACACCCTGGTTGGTGCCCCTCGCCCATCAAGCAAACAAAAGAAAACGCCATATTACTATGTCCTCCACCCTGCCCTTGCTCATGCTTTTGCACTACCTGCCAGGGCCTCACTCTCTTCCTCTAGTATCCTGTCTGGTGTCGTTTGTTTGCTACTCGTCACCGACACGTCCTTGCCACCTTTACTCTTGCTTCGTAGCCTTCCCCAGCTCACCGTCCTCCTCCTGCTCTTCTCCGGTCCCTTGACTTCGTGACTCCACCTTCTCCTGACTGGTGGTCTTGTCGAATCCAAGCCTATCAAGCCGCGGATCTCAGACACTTCGGCGTGGCCCCGCGTTGTCTTCATCCTGTGTGCCCATGTGCATTCGCCATTCTCAAACAAAAACTCGCCGCCAACCTGCTTGAAGTCGCCGCCCTTGAGCGCCTTCCTGCCCGTGCTGAGGCCTTGGAATATAGACTGCACCGAGTTGATGAGAACGTTGGTCTGCATGTATTGAGGCTTGGCACCTAGGTTCAGGGTGCGCGTCATGCCTAGGTGGTCGTAGAGCTTGCGCGTTGGATCCGCGTAGATGGGGAAAGGACACCCCGTCGTCTCGGTATACATGGGTATCAGCTCAGGTCGCCCGCATCCAATAACCGTGATGAATGTCGGTGTAGGCAGGCCGAGCAGGTCGTCGGGCGTTATCGATGAGGCGAGCGTGCGCAGGTATTCCTGGCAGTTCTGCCAAGCGTTAGCCAAGTCAAAGGTAATATTGAGTTGAGACAGTGTTGCAGCTACTTACGCCGCAGAAGAAATGCCGAATGAAGATGATGAGCTGCCTCGAAGCGACATGGGGCGCTTGATAGAGTTCCTTGAACGGCCTGCTCTGGCCCTGCGCATCCAGTACCAGCATGTCCGCTACTGCACTCAGCTCCTTCTCCGTTGGTATGTCATTATTCACGTCGAGTGTGCCCTCGAATTCCTCTTGCTCCATGCCCAAAACAGGCGTTTGGCTCGATGGCGAGAACGGAGGTGTCGTGTTTTCTGCCACGTCCATTGAGGCCTTGGGATCTGCCACATGTCCAGATTGCGAGTGTGGTGGTGAGGGTACTTGTGTTGCGGGTGGTTGTGGCGCAGTCGTCATAATGGGTGGAGGAACCGAGGCAGTTGCTTTGGCTTTTGAAGTCTCCATCTTGATTGTAGTAGATGTTGACTGTAGTAGTGAGAGAAGAGGATTAAAAGTAGAAATAGAAAGCCGGTGGCGCAGCTGTGGTAGCTGCGTAGCTGGTTAGTATCCGGAAGCCAGCTGGTCCGGAGCTAGAGGGCGTTGGTCGGGTGTGTGGTGCTCTGTATACAAAGACTGAGTGTCCAAGGTTTATGGTGAACAAGCCGGGGTTTAACGAGAGGCCTACTATTTTATTTATTCATTGGCCATGCGAAACACGGCCACATATGCGACACGGTTCGAGACGCTGGGTGCAGGTACACGCAACGACGTCAGCGGCTGTTGCAGCTTGCTATTGGTGTCCGCCGGGGGTGCTGGGCTTGTGCACATGGGGAATAGCGCCATTTGGGGTGGCAGTAGTGTGCATTCGTTTACTCCGAGACCACTTGTCCAACAATTGCATCTTTTCTACATGCATACACATACACAAAATGAATATCAATCCGGTGAGCCTGTGCGTTGTTGGCAGTGGAGATGCCTTGAAGCCTGACGTGTCTCAGGGTCTCCTATATCTACGCAGGGTCTGGCGCTAAGCCACGCCCCCGAGGGCGCCACTGCCATCACGACAGCCACCATCACAGCACCTTCACACACCGCATCCAAGCAGCCACCGCATCGTGCTTCTGCTCAGCCACTTTACTCATCCAATAGTCTGTATCTTAGTTTGCTTTTCTTTTCACATGCACCTCCACCACTTCACCCCCACCCCCACCCCTACACACCATGCTCAGTCTCTCGCAAAGCCAGCTTCGTCTTGATGCGGTCTAGCACCTCTACGTAGTGCTTGTAGTTGGGGAAATCCACACCTTGGCAGTCCTTCTTCACTTGGGCAGCTTTGACAGCGGCCGCTTTAGCCATTCCAAGGTCGTTTTGGTGCTCGCAGACGAGCGCAATATCCAGGTACCTATTCAGAATCAGCCGGGAACTCCGCGAAACCTTACTAGAGCTCTTCTCGTCAAACCGATGTGAAAACCACCAGGTCGCGAGAATGGCTCATATCGTTACTTACACAGCAGCCAGTCTGGCGGTATAGTCTCCTTCGAGTCCGTGTAGTGCGGCTAGCTGAAGCAACTTGTTGACGAACTGGGGCTGCTGGAGCCCTTCCAGAAGCAAAGCGCCTCGCCACACACGCGTCTCATACTCTAGTTCCTGTAGTAGGAAGCGTCTTATGGCACTCTGGTGTGCGAAGCTTGTCTCTTCGTCTTCGTCTCCAGCGCAAGCTGGGCAGTCGCAGACGAAGTCATAGTGCTTGAGTTCGTATGACCGGGATGGCTTGTCATGAATCATGTCGCAGTACGAAATTGTGATCTCTTCACCAGCAGCCACGTCATTCATGACATGGATTGTCTCCTTGTTAATGGATGGGTTCCAGGAAAAGCAAGCATTGGGGTTGCAAGAATGATTGAATCGTGCTGCATGTGGGAACACAGCTGCACCTTTATCCATCTCCATGCAATTTGTCTGGAAGATGCTCATCCATGTCGCTTCCTTGCCAATCCGAGCTGCGTGTTGCTCCTCAATACGCTGTCGTTCTCTTGGCTCTACGCTATCATGGATTTTGGATGGCCATTGTCTTGGATCTTGGCCATGGCCAGAATGAAGCGAAAAGTAGAGCTTCTTCTGTTCCGGCGTCAATCTCGCAGCTGCATCCTCAATGTCAGATTTTAGATATGCCCCGGAAGGTATCGCCAAAAGTGGGTTGTCCTCCAAGATACGCGTCCCTCTCAGGATCGGCGCAAGCGCGAAACATCCATAACCCTTTCCAGGAATCTTTCGAACCTCGTAGTACTCGTTTCCCTCTGTGCACTGTTAGCCCCGACTAAATTACTTTTTCTCGATACTGATCTGCTCCAATACTCTTGTTGGGAATGCGATCAAGGGTTTCGCTACTTACCGGGAGGTGTCGGATCAGCTCCATTGGATATCACCATCTTGGAGTTCTCACCAAGTGGAAAGTCAAGGCAGCTGTGAGAGGTTTTCTAGCATCAATTACTTGATTGCTCAAGCAGTGAGTGAGAAGGCAATTGTTTTGATGATTGTGTAGGGACTCTGCTGCACTTTAATTTGGCACACTGAGTTGTTAACTCTAGGCCTCTCTCACCCGTCCCGCCAAGTGAGAATGCCCTGATTGGTCTTACCTTCGTTGACAAATATACCCATGATCCCTGACCTACTTCGCTCTCATGATCAAGAGCCCATGTTTTACATTTTAGGCCACTCCGGAGCTGCTTTCCGGCCCATATGATCGTCTTGTAGGCTTAGTAAGGTTGGTCTATTACTATTGTGGTAGGCCACAAATATGTATATATGTGGGCCACTAGTAAGGGAGCGACCACAGGTTGGGGCTGCAAGCAAGAACTATACTATATACAGTGTAGCGGCCATCGGCATTGCTTAAGAACAGCTCAGCATTTCTTTCTTTCCTATCAACTCAGAAATAGAGCCATCTGAAGAAGAGCTTGATCATCATCCTCAGCGTCTTGCGTATATAGAATCTATACCTATCACTGCAGTAAAAGGTAAAAGCCACAAACATTCAGCAAACACTAAGATCTTACGGGCTTTCCCGCTCCCACTGCAGATTTCAATATCATCCCAAGAGACAGCAGATATCCGCTAGTAGGCCAAACCCACACATTACGAGCTTGGCTCACTAGTTTTCGGCGCATTCAAGGATTCGCAACCGGATTTGGATTCCGAGCCCATAGAGCGTACACGTACGAGTATGTAAGTAGAGTCAGGGGTTTCTGAAGCCAAGCGCGCGAGCGACATGATTCCTTTTCTCATAGTATGTGAAGGAGAAGTCCTTCTGCTATATCACATGACACTCAAGAATAGGGACTCAATATGGATACTCTTCATACCGTCATGAAATATCAACATACCATACGCCTTGAATACACCCCGTCTACCATATCCCACATAAATCCCCATTCACGCCCTCTCTCTCCTTACGTTTCTTTCCTCGCATCTACCTTTTCATGTTTTACTTTGAATATTCATACTCGTTCTCAGAATCATACGGTTCACCATGGAAGTCACATTTCTGATCTTTCTTCTCTTTGATTCCAGGCCATTTGATCATACTAGAGCCGACGCAGTGTTTCTTGCATGTCCACTTGTATTTTAGGTTGACGCAGCCGCATTTGTATTCGACTTGGTAGACTTCGCACATGTTGGCTGGTGAGTAAGGGAAGGGAAAGTATAGGGGGGTGTTAGTAGGTTTGCGTGGGTGGTGGTGGGAGAGGAAGGGAATAGGAGATATATGCAGTAAGAGTGCGTTTGCAAGGTGAATGGTGTTGTGGGTTTGCAGTCAGGGAACTTTTCATTAACGATCAGGTTGGCATTGAATGATTGAATGAGAGAAAGGTTTACATGGCCATTCTTGAATACATGAAACGTTCAATGGACAAACTTGATTGCCCGAATTGTCAAGTTCAAGCAGCAAACATTCACACGGAGATTCCGAACAACCAAGAAATCCTCAGCTCACCGCAAACTCCACTTACTGCTTCACCAACCACTCCAATACCTTATCCGCAATCTCTACATTATTCTTTTCCATAAAAAGCATATGTCCATTCCCCCGAATCCCCACATCAGCCAACTCCATATCCTGCACCTGCACCCCCGCCTGCCTCAAATACCCAACCGTACAATAATCATACGGCGCATGATAACTCGCCTCGGCCGTAACCAGCAACACGGGAACCTGCGCAAGATTAACCAGCTTCTTCGCCGGCTCTGCTTGCATAATACAATCAACATGCTCCGCATCCTTGGCCGGCACAACCACTTTCTCGATCAACGAAGCGTCGGGGCCGGCAGGTGGATCATATGCGACTTCCAAATCGGTAACGCCCCAGGCCCGCGCAGGCCCAGATGCAGCGACTCGATTGATAAACGGCGGACCAGACGGTTCAAGCGCGACGATACTTTTTGTGAGCTGCGGTCTTGCATCGCCGACACGCCAACCGTACGCGCCAGCCTGGCTATGCGTGACAACATGCGCAACCCCGATTTTATCAAGCAACGCGGTATATGCCTTTGCGTTTTGCGATTCCAGAATAGTCACGTTTGTTTGGCGCTGGACTTGGGTGGCGTAGAAGGCGTCGAAGACGGGGTCCCCGACTTTACCCGTTCCCGGCCATTGCGTGTGCAGTTTGGATTGCGGCCACTGCGCGTGCGAGGAGATGGCTGTGAAGAGCGATTCTACGCGCGCGGTGCTGGCGATGTCCATAGAGCCGAGACCTGGGAACCAGGGGGAGCGGCCGCGAGAGGGCTGGTCGGTTAGGTAGACGGTGTAGCCGTGGGAGAGGAAGAAGGAGGCCCAGCCTGGACGGCCATCGGGGGTTTCGAGGAAGTTTGTGCCTGTTTGCCCGTTTCCCGCGATGAAGACGATGGGGGTGTCTTGGGTTTGGTTGCTTGGAGTGAGCTTTTCGACGTAGATCTGGTTGAGCATGTACTGTGCTGTTTCATTTCCCAGCTACATCTTTTTGTTAGAAAGGCGTGGTGTTGGGTTGGGTTTACTTTACTTACCGTGAGATTTGCATACTCGCCGCCTACATAGAAGTACTCACGACGCGATGCTACTTTCTCAACGTAACCCAATGCAGCAGCTAGAAAGTGCCCGCAAAGCACCAGCACTACGGTGCTCACGTGAAATCCTCCCATCTTGTCTTTTGATCAGAGGTTCTAGCTGGACGGTGAAGATTAGCATTGCACGACCTAGAAGGTGGGGAAGGGCCGACTGTCGTCGGTACATATTTAATCGTCTCTCAAACGAGGGCGCTTAAAAGCATCTCACTCATATTTGGCCGACCCGCTCATCTTGGCATGCGGAAATATTTGTGTGTAATCCTACGAATTTGGATTTAGGCAACACAAGATCCCATTGTACGTAGGGTGATTCGGTGCAGTATTTAGCGAAAGCTGCACGTATCCAGCATGATGTTCCTGGGCCGGAATTCTATATTCCGTGTTACATATACGCTAGAGAGGCATTATTGAGCGAATTCGATTTCATATAGTTAATCCTTCTATTTAGTTGAGCCACTGAAGCTCTTCTATACAGCTCTAGGTTGGATCAGTACGTCGCTGGTAGGACACTCAGTCGGCCACCATCTGTGAGCAAAACATTTCCGTTGATATAGGCACCCGCTCTACTCGTCAGAAACAACAAAGCTCCCGCCATGTCCTTGCGGTCTCCAACCCTTTGCTGTGGAAGGAATTCTCTCGGATAAGACTCTTTGAAATTCATGTCGGCAGTGATCTCGCTTGGGTACACTGCATAATGTTAGTGTATTGCAAAGACAGCTCATCAGGTCTCGTGACACTGGCACATCTGGAATCTTCCTGGTGAGATAAAGCGAGAAATTTGTAACTTACATCCAGGTGCAAGGACGTTACAGCGGATGCCGAATGGCACTAGCCTAGTGGCGAGCTGCTTCGTGATGTGTATAACTGCTGCTTTTGAGCCCGCATATGCGAACCCCGACATGAGAACACGACTGAATGCCCCAGCACTACTGACACAGATGAACTGGCTATCTTGCTCGACATTCTTAGCCTTGTTGCCCTTGTCAAGCAACTCAAGGAAAGCGATAGCAGTGAAGAAGGCTCCGTTGACATTGACGTTGTATGCCTGGTTGAACTTGTCTGAGTCCCAGTTCCACAAGTAATCTTGCGTTTCCTTCAGCGTTGCATCGTCTTTTAAATAACGCATCGTTGGGCCAATGATGCCGGAGTTTGCGACTACGACGTTGACGTAGCCGGTTTTTGCAGCGATATGTTCGGCCGCTGCGGCAAGATCCGGTTTCGAGGTTACATCTGCTTTGAAGTAATGGATGTTGCCATGTTTCTACACATACCAGTCAGTGAATTTGATAATAATTGCTGGTGATGTTGGATTGCCGATGAATTCAGAGACGGAAGAAAACAGACATGAAGGTGCAACAAGAAGCAGCATCCAATTGTGAAACAAGAAGACTTACCGCTGTAGCTGCAGCCTCTTTCAAAACCTCCTCTCGTCGTCCAAGGATATATACGATTGCACCATTAGCCTCTAGGGCTTGAGCAATCATCAGACCGATACCTTTGGATTGGTCAGTCCAGCAAATGACTCAACAGCCCAGGAACATTACCTGTGCCTCCGCCAGTGACCACGGCCACCAAGCCTTTGACATTGAAGAGGTTGCCCGCGTCGATATCAGCCATTGTGATGTATGCTAGCTCAGGAACGAGATTGGCCTATTATTGTACACGGTACAAATATTGAAGAGGCTCAGTTGAAAGTGCGGGAGGAATCGGATGCAGATCATGCGGCTGCGCGCTACTACTAGTACTAGATGACATGTTTCGCCTGCTGTTGATAGGGCCGAGAGATACCCCGTGCCAACGCATCCGACTTTGCACCCTAGATCCTCACCATGTCTCATCACATGATATCATAATGCTCGTATGAGGATAACTGCACCAGACTTGCTGTGATGTACTACGAAGCTGCCAGACACAAATAGGTATCTGCAAATGCCACTCCCTAGATAGTGAGTGATGTACCAGGCCGACTACGTCGAATACGCATCAGTTTTTGACAGTAGCTATTCGATTTGTCAAAGGTAAGTAGATGAATTACGCCACACTGATACTGGGCGTGTCTCTAATTCATGTCACAATACACCACTCTGACTACAGGTGTGATTGCTCAAGTACTCAAAGCAGGCGCTCTTGAGTACCGAAGTCTCCATTGGGGTATAAGTTCTAGGATATCCAAAGTAAAACCATCGTCTTGGATATTCGTAGCATACAGCCCAGTCTAAATGGGCGCCACTCTAAGCTATGTAGTCTGAAGATTAGAAGTAGTGTATGCTTGAGATGCGGGGTGAGGATGCGGGGTGAGGGTGCGGGCATAGCCCGTACGGATCCGCCTCACTGTTACATGTTGGGCACCTGGAACAGGCCAGAAAGAAAATAGCGATATATCATCTGATACCGGTTCATTCTTGTTGGTGTTGAGGTGTTGCAGCGTGCGGGAGCCATCCAAGGACCGAGGTTCGGGCTAGTGAACCCCACGGATGCGAGCTATCTCCGTGTGGGGTAACACCTAAATGGGTAATGCGGGCTGCGCGTATCTGCCTTGGTGGCCCAACGCACCGCCACCTTGTCAACACTTGCTCGGCTTCTCTTTCATCCTCTTTGCCGTTCTCTTAATTACATGGTATTTGTTTATTCATGCCTTGATTGGCAGCATCTGATCTATTTCTCCCATCTCTCAAACCACCATGGGCCTTTCCCCAATTGAGCAGCTACCCGTCGAGCTCCTGCAGCACATATTCATTGAATCAGGCTGCAGCCTTACGCTGCTGCAAACAGCTCCATATATTGCGACGCGACTCTCGTCCGAATACATCTACAACTGCACTTGCGACTACTATCTGACTGAGGTGCATGGCGAGCATGGCAAGCAGTCCGCCGCGCAGACCTACATCTTTGCTTCCAAGTGGATGACATGGGACTTCTTCAAGTCATGGTGTCTGCGGCGGTTCAGTCCTCAAGGTTGCTTGTGTGATCGCAAACCAGAGGAGGGCTGCTTCGATGCACAGTGGCCCCCAAACTTCTATGATGCGACGACAATGGTCTTTTCACGAAGCCATTTGCCGCGTCTTGCTTTTGTCAAAGGCCGGCTACCAAAAAAATTGCTGCAAGGCCCATGGTCTCAGGACAAGATCGAGTTTTTGCGGTTCTTGTTATGGACTACAAGCATGAACGTTGATTGGTGTAACCCCGAGATGGCCCAATTAGCTGTCCAAGGCAGGCTCCAGGCGATCAAGGAACGGAATTTGGAGGCAGTAGAGCTGTTTAATAACAATCGGCGACTAGGCAAACCACCCAGCTTGCAAACAGTCCATTTTGCTGTCGTAGAAGCTGGTTGCGATCGCTCCATCGTGTACGATACGTTGGAGGGAGCGAATATGTGGAATCGTAGTACTGATTCCCATTATGCTGAAGCATTGCACAAATGGTGTGACGAGCAAGTAGCGGCTGGTAGTCGGAAAGGCTTGTGGTTGCGAAAAAAGTTGGAAGAGTCCCTGGTTCTGAGAAAAGGGGACATCGCAAATAAATACGACCCAGGGAAGACGTATCCGCGAAAGTCATGTCTGACTACTGAGACTGAGGACTATGATGGTGGGCCAGATGATCAGCTAGTCGTCAATGAACTCGAGTGGAATAAGGTACGTTGGTATTTCTTTTTCCCGCCATTACAATGTCCACATTCCTCCACGATGGAGCGTTCCACATATCTCCAACATAACCCTTTGAAGTGTGGCTGCCGTATAGAAAAGGCAGTAATATTACCAGCTTTTTCAACCCTGAAAGCCGTTGGTATCATATCGCGAAAAAATGGAGTTATAGTCCCTTAGTTTCCTGTCTGGAAATTGCGCTTAGAGCTAAATATGCTCTAGGTGATACCACAGCGAGGATGGCTCATTGCAAGAGCTACGGGCTACAACTACCAGACTATCAATCATAACCTTAGCTGGCCTGAGATCACTCGGAATCCCGGATATCGCATGTATCGAGGCCCCAACTCACCTCGTCGATTACAATGCTGGGTAGAGCACAGCGGAGCGTCACGGATCATTGACTTATGGTTAAGTCCACCTGCTTCGCGCGAAAGCACTCCTGAGCTTCGCCAACGCCGGACCTCGTTTGAGTACACGTCTTGAATTAGGACGATACGGGTGACGGGAAGTGATCGAGCAAGAATATATTGTGCTCGTTTATTGGGTACGATGGCTTAAAGCACAATCGACTCTGACCTCGCATCTACACCAAAACCTCGACACAACAATCCAGCTTCTCGTCATGTATATTTGTTCCTTTGCATCGCAATTCTTGCCCCAATAATGCCTAACCATCTTGACTTTCTTTTCACAGTCCAGCGAACATTCTGCTAACACTGTACTATAGTCCTATATTCTATTTGGCTGGTTCAGAGTTTCACCATTCCGAAGCACGGGGATTCACGGTGTCACAAGATCTGATCTCGGAGATTACTGGGTGCATATCTACGGTCAGCGCCGCATATGTAGGGGAAACTACAGACCCACACCCACGGATGGACACAATTTCTGGCTGGATATGTGGGTCACGCAGACCAAGCAGCAGACACATCCACGGGGCGAGTGAGCAGTGAATTTCTGTCTTATCTCCAATTTAGGATCCAAGAATCGGGCAAGCTGGTATGATGAAGTATATGGTGCCTGGATTTTCTGGCCCAAAAAACATCCTTGTGGAACCACACTACAACTTGCTCTTCGCCTCACGACTAACAAAACCACAAACTAGCTTGATTCGGACCATTTCAACCGTACCCGTCTTGTTTCCCGCGACCATCCTTTGGAATTCTCTATATGCGTCGTCATCTTGCAGTACACCCTCCATGCGCATACACTTCGCCTCTTTATCTTCTGATACCAGCATTGCACCAAGCCCCTTTACATCAATTACGGCCTTCTCAAAGATTCCCTCCCAGTCTCTCTTTGGCGCTACAGACTGATTGGGCTTCGAAGGGACGTTCAGCAGAGCAATAACAGGGGTTGAAGAAATAGATAATGTTGAACCCAGCATCATTTTATTTACAATAGGACAAGGATGTACTTCAGGTGGTTGAGCGAGAACCTCTCCGGTGGAGAATAGTTGAATGAGGTCTTGTACGGGTTTCGTAGTCATATGTGCATCGCTTGCCGCTTGGTTTGCGTATCTGATCCTTATCAGCATGTCCTACAATATCGGTACACCTAGAAAGAAACAGACTCTTCGATCATGTAAATCTCCTTTTCTGCCTGATCATCGTATGGCAGGGCGCACACGTATTGCAACACCTCGGGCTCGTTCGGCGTTGTGTGGTCGATGATCTTCTGAAAGTATTCGATGGCCTTTTGCCGGGCTTGTGCGTCTTTGCATACGAGTCTTGCAGTTGTAAGTATAGACGCCATTTTTCAAGTAATATATCAATCACTACAAGAAATAACTTTTGTCCGGATCCAGCGGGTTTTATAAAGCATACCAACCCCGCAGGTTCGGAACTGGGAGTCCGAGACTTCGGAATAGGTGACCCGTACCTGCATTCACGCTGCGTGGCTGACATGCCAATGGCTCTAGGCTTGACACATGACATTCTCCACCAAAGGATATGCTGTCATGATTTGCTGTTAACATACCTCTAAACATGATATGCGCCAAAGACAGACCCTCGCGTCACCACGTGAGCTCGCGTATCCTGACGTCACCAACCCATTACCCTTGCACACCAGACGCGCCTTCTTTCGTACCCGTTTAGCCTTTCAACTTCCCAAAGCTTACCCAAACATCCCATGTCCCTCCCCCGCTACATCCGCTCTCTCCATCCACCCTTCTCCATCCCATGGCGCACATACTCCTCACTCAATCGTAAAAGCAGCATACCATTCAACTTCTTCTCCGGCTTCACCGCCGCCACCATGGCCTCCGCATCTCCAAACAACCCCTTCCCTTCAACACCATACGCCCCGAAATACGATAAATGGCCGTACATTGCCTCGGACTTTCAGCGCTACGACGAGAACCCAGATGGTGACTTCTACCAGCAACCACGGCTAGTTACGCATATTGACGACCCGGCTATCGCACGCTTGACACAATATTACGACACCGTTTTGCCCCGGAAGGGAGAGGTACTGGATATGTGTACGAGTTGGAAATCGTTTTATCCATCGTCTATCAAAGAAGCGATTCAGAAGGGCGAGCTAAAAGTCTATGGTGTGGGTCTGAACAGAGAGGAGATGGCGCTGAATGGGTGTTTCCTGGGCAAGGAGGAGAGGTGGAGGGTACTGGATTTGAATGCGCCACCGCATGATGTTAGAGCAGGGTGGGAAGGCAACGACTTGCATTTTGATGCTACGACATGTGTGGTTAGTATTGATTACTTGAACGAGCCGCTGGAGGTTTGTAGGAAGTTGCTTGAGGCGACTAAAGAGGGAGGAACGGTGCATTTGGTTATTAGTAACCGGTGCTTTCCGAATAAAGTTGTTGGGAGGTGGTTGATGTTGGATGAGCCATCGAGGCTGGAGTTTGTGGGAGGTAAGTTGTGTCGTGATGCTTTGGGTGTTGGGGTATTTGCTGACTTTGTAGATTATCTTCACTTTTCCGGATGGAAAAATGTAGAGATAGTTGATCTTTGTGCGAGAGATGAGAAGGGCATGCGAGTCACAGATGACCAAGGCACAGTTCTTACACGCTCACCACATCTCCCAGACCATTTGGACCCACTATGGGTAGTTCGAGCTACGAAGCAGGCGTAGTGTCAGTCAGTCGTATATGATAAGTGGTTGATTATTCTATAAATGTACTTTTGTGAACTTTTTTTGGCCTCCGCGAGCGAGTATCTTTTGTAGATAAAAGAAACTCAATCCCACAGCGTTTTGATACAGACCTTTTGTACATACTTCACTCCTCACCCCTGCTTCGCCCACGGCTCCAGCGCATCAACCAACTTCTTCCATTTTCCCCCCTGCCATCCACAAATGCGCTCCCATTCCGGCAACGTCGCCTTGATAAACTGCAACCAACCCCCCACAATAACATCCGCGTACGTCAACTTTTCGCCCTCCAAAAACGGTCCCTGAGCCTCAAACCGCCACATCTTTGCAAACTCGTCCATGTCCGCCTCAAAAGCCTGTAAAACCTTCTCCCTAGCCTCACCCTCGACACACAACTGATCCCAGCTCTCCACATGCAGGCGCTCCACAAACTCCCTCTTGGTCTGCTCCGCCGTCTCAGGATTCAGCGGCATGTAGTTCGAGCACAATACCACATGCTTTGTAAACAGCGCATCGACGTGCGCGTTGAAGACGCGGTAGACGCCAATTGTGTCTGGAGACGGGAATAGGCGTTCCCCGCTATCTGCGTACGTGCGGTCGAGGTACACGGCTATGTCGAAGGAGTCGCCGATCCAGGCGTCGCCGTCGGAAGGGTTGGGGTCCCGGACCATGGGGAGGGTGTAGAAGTCGCCGCTGTCTGGGAACTTGCGCACAGGGGCAACGCCATGTGCGAGACGGGTGGATTTTACATCGGGGAGTTCGACCCAGTTGGTTTTGTAGGGGAGGGCTTTGACGTTGAGTGTGTAGCTAAATTGTTTGTTAGGTTTGCACTTTCTTTTGCTTTTTCTTTCTCATTGGAAGAAGGGGGGCGAAGCTGGAAATAACGAACCGTGTTTTCCAAGGGTTCGGGGCGTAGCATCGTTTTGGAGGACCAGATGCTATGTCGAAGAATTCAATTGGGGATTCCGGTGGTGCCATTTTGTCTGGGTTGTTGGTCTGTGTGATGTTGCTGGTTTCGAGGAAGCTTGTCATGTGAAGATAAGGTGCTGAGAAACAGTACTGTCTGTGGGATGGTAGTTTGGTCTTATGTATACATGTGTGTGCTTCTGCGCTGGCCAAGAAACCATAGCATATAGTTACGTCGTTAGGCGTCCACAGACCAATCAATTGGACATGGGATGAGTCGATATGATATATGCGGAGTTCATGTAGACTAGTGGGGCAAGGCGAACCGACGCTAATCTCGTGCAGACGCTTTGTACAACACCTTCTTAGTTTGCGAAGGCGCAAACTAGCATAGAAACCGGAGTTCGGCAAGGACTGCAGTCTTGTGCACACGGTTTGGTTTAGTGTAGTCGCTTGTTTGCAGCATTTTGTGGGCCATTGTCGTTGTTGAGCAAAGATGAGTTGTTGTGGCTGTGCTTTTTGTACGACGGAAAGGGGTTGGTGGGAACATAATCACAAGCTCAATCTGCTGAACTCCTCTTAGTGCACAACCACCGCTCTTAGCGAGAATCTGCCTCATTTGTACAACATGTATCGCTGATTACTTGCGTATCCGCCAAAACCTATGCTTCAATAACTTTCCGCAACGCCTTTGCACTCTTCTCTAACAGCTCCTTCTCCTCGCTGCTCAATGGCATTGGCACACTCCTTACAATTCCTCTTCTCCCCAAAACTGCCGGCACACTCAGACAAACGTCCAAACCATCCTGATAATGGCTAACTGGCCGGATGTTCCTCTGGTCGAAAAGTATAGACTTGCAGATACTGGCTGCGACACCACCGATGCCATAATTGGTCGCACCCTTACTTTTGATAATATTTGTCGCTTTATTTTTGGTTTCTTGTGCAATGGCCTTTTTGTCGATACTCTGCTTCGACTCAACTACTTTATCGAGAGGTACGCCCCCAATGCTAGCAAGGCTCCAGGCGACAAATTGAGATTCGCCGTGCTCGCCCAATACGTAAGCATCAATACTGGATGCTGCGACCTCAGCTTTCAGAGCGAGGATGCCACGGAGACGCGCTGAGTCAAGAAAAGTACCGGAGCCGATGACTTGCTGTTTGGGAAGCCCAGAAAATTGTTGGGCGAAGTAAGTAAGTACATCGACAGGGTTGGCGACAAGAAGCAGGACGGTATCTGGTCGAAAAGGTTTCATACCGCTAATAGCAGATTCGAGGATAGATTTGTTGCGGCCGATGAGGTCAATTCGGCTCTCACCTGTGCATTGATAAGTTCCTGGAGCCTCGCCGATGTTTCTCTATGCTCAGTTGATGTGTACCTTTCTTTTGCTTTGCGCCGGCGGTTATGACGACAACATCGCACTGCCCAGCTTCTTTGTGTGTTCCTGATCTTATGCGCG